CCTGGCCGCACTGCCGCTCGGCGAGCTCAGCTTCGCCGGCACGCGCCGCGTCAACCCCGAAGCCCTGCGCGCCGAACTGGAGCTCACGCCGGGCACACCCATCGGCCGCACAGAGCTCGCACGCGCCGTCGAGCGCCTGGACGGCACCGGCGACTTCGACCGGATCGAAACCGATGTAGACGACCGTGACGGCCGCCGCGACGTCGAGTTCAAGCTGACCGAGGCCGACTGGGCCGCCCAGCCGCGTGCGCCTGGGGCTGGAGCTCTACAGCGACTTCTCCGACGCCAGCAGCTACTCGCTCGTGGCCATGCACGTGGCCAACTGGCTCAACCGCTTGGGGCGCCGAGCTGCGCAGCGTCGCGCGCATCGGCTCCACGCGCGGGCCTGAACACCGAGTTCTACCAGCCACTGGGCCCGGGATCGCGTTGGTTCGCAAGTGCCAAGCTGGCCTACGAGGCCGGCGCCAACGATGTGTTCTACCAGGGCCAGCGCGCCCTGCGCCTGTCGAGCAGCCTGACCAGCGCCCAGCTCGAACTCGGCCACCGCGTCGCGGGTCTGGGCGACCTGCGCTTCGGTGTCGGGCAGCTGCGCGCCAGCGACGAAATCGTCCTGCCCGTCATTCCTGAACGCGGACCGCAATCGAAGACCTACAGCCAGCGCTACCTGGAACTGCACACCGACACGCTGGACTCGCTCGCCTTCCCGAGCCGCGGCCAATGGACGACAGCGCGCATCGAATGGCTGCGGCCGCGGGGTGAATCGCGCGTCATCAACGCCTCGCTGCTGGGCCTGACGGCCTTCCGCCTCGGCAACTGGGCGGGCCAGCTCTACGGCGAAGTGGCGCATGCCGAACGTGGGCAGACTCGCTCGCTCGGCGGCTATCTGCGACTGTCCGGCACGCCGGATGCGTCGCTCATCGGCGAGAACATGGCCCTGGCGCGGGTCGTCATGGCGCGGCGCATTGGCGAGATGCCGGTCGGCCTGGGCGGGGCGGTGCGCGTGGGCTTCTCGCTGGAG